TCTTTCCCATTCCCATGCTTTTTCTCAGGCACTCTTTTCCTGCTTAGGGCACCCTACATCTCTTATTCTTGAAATTGTATCAGTCATTCAAGGTTCATTTAAGAGGTCACTTATTCTTCACTCCTACTGGTCTGCCTTATGTTAGCAACCTGTTTACTTGTCTTATCACCTCCCTTTAGACTTCCTGAGGGCAAACAATATGTCTTATCTTTTTTATGTCACTAGCAACCTCTAGGAAATGCCTGAGAGAATACTCAGTGAAATAGTTGTTCAGTTGGTTGAATAATTTTATCTCAATTATTTCCTTAAAGAAATATTATATTTTTTAATGGCTTGACTTTTGTTTGTTCGTTTACTTATTTATTTATTTTGAAGAAAAACATTTGTGATGCTGGCTCTCAAATAATGAGGAGGATAAACATTACTTCAGAGAACTTGTTAAAAGTATTCTTGCCTTCCCCTAAGATACTATTCCATAGATGTAAAAGATCTGAAGTTAGGCCTCAGTGTCTGTATTTTTAATAAGTACTGAGACAAGAGAGGGGTGATTTGGATCCTATGGGACCTGGACTGTACTTTCATAAATATTGCAACATAGTATTTGTCATTATGTCTATTAATGGACTATTATCACCTTCCTTTAACCAAACAGATCAGTTCATTAACAGAGGAGCAGGTAATGTACGGAACAGTAAAAATCAAGATATTTGTCATATTGCCTTTGGATCCAAAGTTCTTGGACCACCTCCACTCTCTGGAAGAAGGAATAACATGAGGATATCCAGCGAGGTAGGAGCAAGCTTTGAGGAGCCTATCCAAGCATGAACAGTAAGGAGAGTGTTCTCCTCTTGTGAAGGAGACAAGTGTGGGAGGTAGAAGAAAAGCAGGAGAAGGGAGAGAAAGAGAGAGAGACTACATACTACATTCAAAGCAGAAGGCTTCAATAAATTTGGAACAGAGATTCTGGATTTAAGCAGATTTCAAAACCATTTCCTTTTTGTCATGTCAACATTAGCATTTTTTAGTATTCTTTTCATTAAATATTACAAAACTCACAGGCAAATACATGTGAGCACATTGTGTTGCTTCCTTCAAAAAAGGAGGTGGATAATCACCACATACCTTATAATGAACAGATGATCAAGTGCTATTTTTTTAATTTTTAATTTTCTCTGAACTTCTGACATATACAATGATTTTTAATTCAACTCTTGCCTACTGAAGATGGCATATAGCGAATAAGCACGTTTTAATTTATGTATCTAGGAGACTTCCTTGTCTTCTATTTTATCTCACATTATTTTTCTCTTTCCATTTCTAACTTTTTTTTTCAGTAGTTTCTCTTTCCATCATGTTTTAACTTTCTTGTTTCCTCTGGTATTTTTCTCACTCTTTGTCTAAATATTATTTTTTTCTATGTGGATTTTATAGGAAATAAAGGCAATGCTTGTTAATTTTTTACTGTACAGATTAATTCCTTTCCCTTGTAGACAGTAAGATCTATTGGATCCAAAAATAATCGATCAGGCCAGCAGTCCACCATAGAGAAGTGTGTTAACAGTACAGAAATGTCAGCCTTGCTGATATCTGAGTCTGAGGAGCAAGGAGACAAAGAAAATATTCGCCAAATGAAGCAGACTGTCTCTGTTCATGGTAAGAAAGAATCATGCATTAAGACTGATAGATCACGAAAATAATGAGAAATGTTAAGATAAATCAGAAGCTCTATCCATGACTAGTTTTTAAAAATCCAGAGAATTATCATTTATTAATAAAGATGGTGGTGGTAATCGAATATATTCAGGATTCTTACACATGCATTTTCTAGAACCAATCATTCTATTGACTCTGTTATTTCAAATTACTATATTACTCTGTGTTTTCACTATCAATCCAAAAAGAACAACTCTAAAGCAAAAGTTATAAGCATGAAGGGAACTTTTTGATCTCTCAAAGCTAGTATCAAATAAGAGTCAGTCCCTGGTTCTGGAATCAGAGCCCTGGCAGCAGGGCCAGATGGCAACAGCAACACATCCACCAACCCTATGAAGGCTGGGTCTTTTATGGCACTGAAAAGGACACAATGCATGGAAGTTGTTCTAAAAGAGTTTACACTGGACAGAAATAACAGAGGAGAATCTAATGGAGATGGAGGAAGGGATAGGATGGCATAAGCAGAAGCTGTATGAAGCAACTTACAGCGGTGATAGCCTGTCCAGCACCATGCATGATCAGCCTAAGGAGACTGCAGCCTGGAATGATCTTGAGACAGATGTCTTATGACAGTCAGCCACATAGTCAGTGGGGAGTACACAATCGATACACAGGCTGATCAGCCAACACTTTCTCCTCATAGTTCTCTGGCCTTTATTATTATTTGTTTTTAATTTTGTCCTTTCTAGATAAGCTTTATCTTCATATAACGAATGAGGATATAAAATAGCATCTCATTGTTTTATTTTGGAAACTCCATATGGACCTTAAGTTTTCTTAGCTCAATTTTATCCTTTAATTAATTTCTTCCATTTGTATAGTGCTGCTTATTTTCTCTCATTGATACAAAACAACTCTATGAATAAAGAAAGGATTTCTGTCCCATTTTAAAGATTAAGAGAGAGAGTAATTTGCAGTTAGTACTCATTAGAGGGAACTGAGACCAGAATCCAGTATTTTTAACTCCCTGTCAATTTTTCCATCTTCTCGATCTGACTACAGTGAGAACTGAAAAGGGGGGGACCATTTGAGTTCATTTTATTTAATTTAGAAGTTAATGATCACTGGGACCAGCAGATGGTGTAATGGTTACATCACTGGACTCCTACATAGTTGGCCACAGTTCAAGTCCCAAACCTGGTGGCTTAAAACACACCATGTGTGTGTGTGTGCATGCCCAAAATCCTGAAAGGAGAATGGAGGAGAAGGGATTGCAGCATGGCCTTCTCCCCAGGAAGTGGAGGGTGATTTCTTGCTTTCTGTCTCTCTGTTTTTCCAGCAAGTGCATGTGCCCTATAGCAAAAATCTCTAAGAAAATTTATAAAAAAGGCAACTAATGATCATTATTACAGATATTCTCTCTCATGAAATAGAAAACTGAGACAAGGAGATGAATAACATAGATGATCCAGTCCCAGCTCTTACCACTTACTATTTATTAGGACTTGATCAAGTTTCTTAGTCACTGTAAGCCTCAGTTTCCTTCTCTGTGAATGGGGATGCCATATTACTGATGCTGATAGTAATAATATGTGACATCTGCCTCAAAGGGTTGTTTGTGGCATTTCAGTTGCAGAGTCAATAAGAAAAACCAGTTAAGTGTATCATAGTGTGCCAAGAAATCAAGTTTCAGTAAATATTAAATGTGGCTATGAATATTCTTACAGAATTAAATTATACTTAAGAATTATTCTTCAGGTTTGCTCTCACTTCTCCAGAGTTCTTTTAAAAGCTTTCTAAGCTCTCGTTGAAAGATTGCTTAGTTACACTTCTTTTTTAAAGGAAGAAGTAATTTTTCTGTATTGGTTGTCAATTTCATTTTCTATATTTGTTAATACAGCAATTGCATGATTAGCATTCATCAAATTATATGAAGCTTTCAATAACATTATATTACAGGAATAAAATATGTTAATTCTGAAAGCCTGATACAACCCTAATATTAGAATAATAATAAATGCCTTTCTTATGAAGAAATAAGTTGTCTTTTTTTAATATGGCTTTACGTTATGTCAAAATGATACATAAGTATTCCCATTATAGTGATATTTGTATTTGCTGAGTTATTTCAAACCATATAGTACTTTCTGTTCTGGTTTTTGTTCTTTGATCTGAAAATATACCAGCCAATCTGCATATGCTGCATCCACGTCCCCCTCAAGAACCATCAGCAGATAAGAATAATAACAGAAGAAGATTACGGTTAAAAAGCACCAGCAGAGAAAGGACGGAGATACCCAGTGGTATGGCGCTGTTTCAGTACTAATCTGATATCTGTATATTATTCAGGGCAATGGAATCTCTCTCTGCAGGTTGTAAATTTCAAAGGATTATGAACCAATTCATTTGAAATATAAATGTCTGTTCTACAGGGATTATGGAAATCAAATATTCTATAAAAGAATTGCTCTAGAGCCCTAACAGAGATTTACTGGATTAAATAGACAGTACCACAGAAATAAAGCACTGCCTACTCTTCCTCTCAGAGGCTGAATAAGCTTAAATTATTGTTTTTTAAGAATGGCCCAAATGTGATAGAGGAAGTAGGTTCCCACTTGCAGACTTTACTAAAATTGAACTTTATTATAATTTTTCATGTTTCATTTATATCTCTTCTTTTTCAACTGAGCTCTTTTCAGATTGCTTTTTACGTTTCTTATTTCTCTCTTTGGATTCTTCACCATCTGATGTAGGTTGAAATTTAAACTCTTTGTGACCAGGAAAGCATTAAACAAATATAGGTGGCTTTTATAGTTATTCCTTTAGATAATGGATTTGTGGCATGTGTAGATTTGTATACATATATATTAGTCTATCCTGAATCCAGCCCAATGTATATCAGTTACACACTGCTTAGTATAATTTCTCAAAACTGTAAGATTTCTAAGTTATCTGAAATTCAGCCTGTTAGGTGATTTCTAGGTTATGTAAAATTCAGCCTGCTAGGTTTCATATTATTTTTATAGAATAGTAGATAGAAAAATTAATTCTGCAGTTATGTCTGTAACCCTTTTTTTTAAGGTGCTAAAGGAAGGAGCTTGGTTTATAACAGTTACACTTAGTGAAGATTATAATTTTTTTTATTTTATTTTATATGGAAACCAAGTGAAAAAATATTAAGACTTTTAAAAATTATATGGGTTTTCAAATTCTATCACATATTGTAAAAGTTAAATCTAAGATGTCCCTGGGCAAATAATCAAAAAAATTGTAAGATACAGCTGAGTTCATCTTAAAATAGTCCACTGATGAAAAACCTGCCTCTGATCATATTATTATCTCTAATTTGCTTTTAAATAATCAAATAAAAATACCACATTAATCCCATGATTCAAAAATTACTTTTCCTAAATATTGGGCCAGACTGTGCCATGGTGATTTAAGGCAGCTGGATTCCATGTGACCAATGGCATGATCTGAGTCCTGGACCTGGCAACTTGAGAAATATACCAGGTGCATGTACATATGTACCTGAGATCCCAAAAGAAGGGAGAAATGGAGAAGGGATTGTGGTGTGATCATCCCTTTGTGTGTGGGAGGTGGGGAGGGTGCTTTCTCACGTTCTTTCCCACCACCTCCACCCCTACAAGCACATGCACCCTCTGGCAAATATTTTCTTTTCTTTTTTTAGAGAAAGATTTTTGTTATAGCACACGTGCACTTGCTGGAGAGACACAAAGAGATTAAAAGCAAGAAATCATTCCCCACGAGGGTGGGAGTGGGGGCAGGGGATAGCCATGACACAATCCCTTCTCCTCCATTCTCCTCTCAGGATTTTGGACATGCTTGCACACACACCCATGTGAATTTTTTCTTTTTTTTTTTTTGAGAGGTTTTTGCTATAGGGCGCGTGCGCTCACCAGAAAGACAGAGACAGAGAGACAGAAAGCGAGAAATCCCTCCCCAGAGGGGATGGCCATGCCACTATCCCTTCTCCTCCATTCTTCTCTCGGGATCTTGGGCATGCATGCACACGCGCCCAGCTTGAGTTTAAGCCACTGGGTCCAGGACTCGAACCGCGGTTGACTACATGGGAGTCCAGCGACATAGCCATTATGCCATCTGCTGATCCCGTGAAATCTAGGCCAGTAGATCTGGGACTCGAACCATAGCCAACTACTTGGGAGTCCAGCAACCTAACTATTATAACATCTGCTGGTTCCCCAGCAAAATAATAATAATTTTAATTACATTTTATAAATATCAAAAGAACTCATAGAGTAAAAAATGTTTCTTCCCAAAAAAGGCAATACTTCAGGAAATAACAGGAATGAAGATAAAACAACAATTGACCTCACCACTATATCCCAGCAAGGAACAGAGACATTGATTCCCAGCACTGCAGGACCACAGACTCCTGATCAAGCAGGTTGGCATCTTTACTACACCACATTTGTTAATAATTAATAAAATAGAAATAGACCAAACATGTCAAAACCTTGTCATTTTGGAAAGTTATGATGCAACCATTTGCTAAAATTTATAATGTTTTGTTGTAAGCCTCCTTTATTTAACCTCAGTTTTATGTCAAACTTTAATGGATGAAAGTACTTTTATTTTCAAGTTTTAATGCACCAGTGATCTTGTTCAGAAGAAAAGTTTAAAATTCTGAAGGTTTCCCTTGACACTGTCACCCTCCCCAAAGATGATCTATTGTGCAGTTCTACCTCCTCTTTATGATGGAGATGGTAGGAGCTGAGAGTATTGAGCCCATCAACATATCTTGCCTAGCAGGTGTGTGCTACTTGTACAAAGGCAAATTGTCTTTGAGCAAGGGAAAAAGGAAAATAAATGAAAATTGTTTGTAGTTTGTCAGTCTTATTTATGCAATGTTGAAACCTTCATTAAAATGTTAGGCGCAATTAGTGTCTCTAGCATAAATCTGACTGTGTAGAAAAACTAATTAGATGTTTAGGTGATCATTCTTGCATTTATCTTGTTTGCTGCAATATTGTGATTACACAGTAATTTACATATTTTCCTAAGAAAACACACCAAATTATTCATTACAATTGATATGGAAATACTTGAGGTAAAAATACAAATTCCAAAAAAGCATGTGGCAGTGAGATAATTAGAGTTAGTTTGGTGTAAAACACTCCTTTTACTTTGACTTTTTGACAGTTAATAATGTGTTTGGCAATAGGTCATAGAACTTGTTTAATTGCATAATGAAGATTCCCAGTATCTTTTCCTCCAATTTCCTGCACATAAACCATGTACATAATGCAGTGCTTTGGTTTTTGTAGCCCTTTTCTGCATTTATACAGCACCTACTGTGTTTGCAAAGCACGTGTTTTGTGCATAGCACGATACAACAGGGTTCATCATGTACTTACTGGGGAGACACAGAGATTAAAAGATTTAAAAGTCTAAAATAAGAAAGCCAGTGAATCAGTTCAGGTCACTAGCCCATAGCTACAAGACCATCTACACCCCTCTGAGGGTATCAGATGTTGTAGGCTTGGCCTGCCATTGGTCATTTACCTATAGACTGTTTCTCAAAATATGAAAGCCTTTTTTCTGATAGATTTTCTCTAAGAAATGGACATTTATTACCATTTATAGAGGCAAGTTTTGATATGTAATGGTAGATGTAGGTTAAGAAACTAATACAACTGTGAAACATCATATTTGTGCTGTCAATGCTATTTTTACTAAAGGTTTTTTGTTTTTTTGGGTTTTTTTGCTTTTGCATTGTACACTTTAGAGAGATGACAAATCTTAAATCCTTCTTGATTACTTTTATTGATATCATAAATATGTTAAGAGTCAGGTATAAAATAACCATGTCCACATGGTGATTCTGCAGATCAGATTCTTACAAGACTTCTACCACTGAAAAATACAGCAAAAAAAAAAAAAAAAAACATTTCAAGAAAAGTAAACTAATTTGAGAAAATGTTCAACTTTTCCCTACTGGATTCTAAAGAAGAAAAGGCGCATGCTTTAATGATGTTCATTATTAAGATTTAGCCTTTCTCATTTGTGTGGATCATAAAG